AAAATATTCCATCCAACAGTAGCAGAATGCACATTCTTTGCACAGAATGCACATTCTGTGGGATAGATTATATGTTAAATCATAAAACAAGTCTTAACAAGTTTAAGAATATTGAAATCAAATCATGCATTTCTAGCCTCAATCGTATGGAACTAGAAATCAATTAGAAAAAGAAAATTGAAAACCTGACATACATGTATAAATTAAATAACACCCTGAAAAACAACTAGTGAAAGAACAAATGAAAAGAGATATCAAAAAATATCATGAGTCAAATGAAACTGGAATACAATATACCAAAATTTATGGAATGCAGCAAAATCAACTTAAGAGGGAAGTTTGTAAAAATAAATGCCTACATTAAGAAAAAGGAAAGATTTCAAATAACAACCTAACTTTACTCTTCAGTGAACTAAGAAAGAAACAACAAACAAAGCCAGATGTTAGGAGGAGGAAAGAAACAATAATGATTAGAGCAGGAATGAAATAAAATGTGATGAGAAAGACAATAGAGAAGATTAATTAAACTAAGTTGATTTTTGTAAATATATACAAAACTGAAAAACCTCTAGCTGGGCCAAGTACAAAAGACAGAGAATACATTAAAAGGATCATATATCAAGATCAAGGAGAATCCCTGGGATACAAGCATGGCTCAATATTCACAAATCAGTAAATGTGATACACACCATTAACAGAATGAAAGATCAAAAGAACAACATATGATCATCTTAATAGATTCAGAAAGAAGCACTTTACAAACTTCAAAGTCCTTTCATAGTAAAACTCTGAGTAAATTAGGTATAGAAAGAATTAACCTTTTCAAGAAAATAATACATATAGTGTATTATTATTGTCATAAAAAAGAAGAACTTCATGCCATTTATGACAATATGGTTGGACACTGATGGCATTATGCTCAGGAAATAAGTCAGGAAAAAAAGGACAAACATTGTATGATCTCAGTTATTGTGGAATTTAAAAAACTCATAAAAACAGAGTAGATTGGTGATTGCTAGAGCTGAGACAAAGTGGAAAAAATGGATGAAGGCAGTGATAGGGCACAAATATCCAGTTTCAAGATGAGTAAGTTCTAGTGATCTGATGTACACCATGGTGACTATAGTTTAAAATAGTGAATTTCATACTAGAAAGTTGATAATTGAATAAATATTAAAATTCATTACAAAAAATGTTAACAAGGTGACATGATGGTTGTGTTAACTAATCATACTGTACAGCAATTTCACAATATCTAAGTGAAAACAATCATCATAATTGTTAACCTTAAAATGCTTTATGTATCAATTATATATCTATAGTGCCAGAAAAAAATGTTTAAATAATACACTTTACCAAGTAAAGTAGCCAGTCACAAAAAAGCATGTAATGTGTAACTTCATTCATATGATGTGTTCAGTTTAGGAAACACTCTAAGACAGAAAGTAGATTAAAGGTTGGCCAGGGCTGGAGATACAGAAAAAGGGATTTTGATCCACAGGGTAAAAATTTCTTCTGGGAGTCATGAAAGTGCTCTAAAATTGATTGCCATGGTGGTTGCAAAATTCTGTGAAGCTACTGGGAACTACTGAATTGTGCAAATTAATTTTTTCAATTGTATTGTTTATGAATTATATGTCATCAAAGTTTTTATAAACAGAACAAAGCAAATATCTCTTGAACCATAATTTCCAAGACATTCTTATTCAGCTGTATCCTTACTTATCTCTAGTTCTCAGTTCAAGGAGAATACAGACACAGTCACATTTCACTTGCCACCATTCTTGAAACACTTCTGAAACATATTACATAAGATAGATCACTTGCATATTCAAGGTCATTGACTCTTAGTTAGATTTTATTATAGTAATAGTAATATTACTATATTATAGTAATAACACAAACATGAATCACATTTGTGTACAAGCATGATCATCTACCTTTTCTTGCTTTTTTCACTTGCCCTCAAAATGCTCTGATCATATAATGCTTTCACTTGGAGGTGGAGGAGTTATATATTAACTTCCTGATTGATTTCTCCCTGATATAAGCAGCAGCAGTCATACAAGGGGACAGAAATTTGAAGAGAGACGTTGTTCTCCACCAGGATGTCTATGAAATGGATTTCAGTTCCTCTGCTGCTACAGCTGGCTTATTACTTCAGCTCTGGGAGCTGCGGAAAGGTGCTGGTGTGGCCCACAGAATACAGCCACTGGATCAACATAAAGGCAATGCTGGATGAACTTGCCCAGAGAGGCCATGAAGTGGTTGTTCTGGCATCTTCAGCCTCCATTCTTGTTGATCCCATCAAATCACCTGCTATTAAATTTGAGATTTTCCCTACATCTTTAACCAAGGTTGAATTTGAGGATTTATTTGGACAAATGGTCAGTAGATGGACATATGACCTTCCAAAAGATACATTTTGGACATATTTTTCACTAATGCAAGAAATTGGGTTAAAATATAGTGATTGTATTGAAAAGCTCTGTAGAGATGTAGTTTTAAACAGACAATTTATGACAAGGCTGCAAGAATCAAGGTTTGATGTCGTTCTTGCGGATGCCATTGGACCCTGCGCTGAGCTGCTGGCTCAGCTACTCAACATACCTTTAGTGTACACCCTCCGCTTCTCTCCTGGCTATGAATTTGAAAAGTACGGTGGAGGACTTTCTTTACCTGCATCCTATGTACCTATTATTTTGTCAGAATTAAGTGATAAAATGACTTTCAAAGAGAGGGTGAAAAATATGATATATGTGCTTTATTTTGACTTTTGGTTCCAAGTATTTAATGAGAAGAGGTGGAATCACTTTTACAGCGAAATACT